CTTCTTGACTTTGCCTGTACTGTGATCATTATATATATACCTGCATGTTTGCCCTTGCTAGGTTGTGATCATTGTACCTCTTGCTCTATTATAGAACTGCATGTGAACTGGTCTTGTGACCGCTTACTTGTGCTCGGAATTTGTGTGGAATCCTCGAGATCCACCCTGAGCTTGTTTGCCTTGTTTTACCTTGACTGGTCTTGTGACCCTTAGGTCTGCCCCACTTTGCCTATGGGGGTGTGTCAAACATTATATGTTTATGTGGTTCTAGGCTGTAGTGGGTTACACCTTAGGGGGTACACCAAATTAGGGTTTCATATTTGTACTGTTGTTCCTGCTAGTCACAATCATTCCTGTTTCTCATTTTGACACTAAGCGGTTGAAGACCTCGCGTGTAAACCCGCTCTGATACCAAGTGTGATGATCTAGGATCGAGTTCAGAATAGAGAATGAGAATTGAGTCGAATTGAATTGAATTGAATTGCATGTCCACCTGGGTACAACACGAGGCTATATATAGGCTCGACACAAGGCCCCGTAACCGGGTGTTACGCGAAGGTTCCGCGGGCCGTGTAGCGTCCCGAACGGATCCTTACCGAATTCGGTAGAAGGCAATTCGGTGGCAACCGAAAAGCCAGAATTCGGTGCACGCAACCTAGCTTGGTGTTATAACTATAATAAAATATAGGAAAGCACCTAGCCTAGGAAATCAAGCAATTCATGCATGCATATGATTATCCTATGCTAGAAATAGCATGATAAAGTAGAGGCAAGCAAGCATAGCTGGCATAAGCCGTCGTACTCTCACACCGCGACCCTCGTTTCACTTCGAAGTTCTGGAGGCAGCTTTTCGCAGTGTTTGGGACTCACTTAGCCATGTCGTCTGCGTACCATCCAGAGACAGACGGACAGACCGAGCGTCTGAACCAGACCTTGGAGCAGATTCTTCGCAGCATTACGATGCACGACGCAGCCGCATGGGACAAGAAGCTGAGCATGGCCGAGTTCGCCTACAACAACACGCACCACTCGTCCACAGGCATGTCACCGTTCTTTGCACTGTACGGTCAGCACCCCAATGTCCCCACTCGTATCGATCTCACACCCACAGTCCCTCGTGCGGACAACTTCCACCAGCATCTCACCTTCATTCATGATCACGTGAGGAAGCACCTTGAGCTCGCAAATGCACGCATGGCACGCACCACCAACCGCAGTCGTCGTGAGGTGTCGTTTTCAGTTGGCGACCGTGTCCTTCTCGACAGCCACAACCTCCGACTGCCACAGGACAGCAAGCTTCGCCCTCTTTCTTTGGTCCATTCGTCATTGAGCGCGCACTAGGTCCAGTCGCATACCGCCTTTGCCTTCTCGCTCATTTCCGCATGCACCCGTCATTCCACGTGTCGCTTCTTCGTCCTTACACCGATCCCAACACCACCTTCTCGGGCCGTGACTGCACTCCACTGCCGGTAGCTGTTGACACCGACGAGCCCGACTACCAGATCCAGCGCATCCTCAAGCACCGTTGCCGTCTCCAGGGGGGTGTCCCTTTCATCGACTTCTTGGTTTGTTGGCGTGGTTACGACGCAGCCAACGACAGCTGGGTTCCTTCGTCCTCGCTGTCTCCCGACAACACTTGCCTCCAAGCGTACCTCCAGTCTGCAGGCGTCGCGGACGTCGCCTCCTTGGGAAGGGGGTACTGTTGAGGGGGGATGTAATGTTCATTTCGAACAGTACTTTCCAACTCACCCTTATCCTTATCTTCCTTGATTTCCTAGTGCCACGTGGCACTCTACCTTTCTTGCCTTCAATTCCTAGTCCCACGAAGTACTTTCCGATATTCGATCTTGAATGCTATATCAACCTCACTTGTACTTGCCATTATCAATCAATTCTCATTCAACTCTTCAATTACTCAGTTACCTCTTCGCCTATTTCGCCAACACTCTCTTTCGCCAAAGTCTTCCGCCACGTTTATCCTCAATTTAGTCAACCCCGCTATTCCTTAGCGGATTTAGGCCAAGGGGCCTAACACAAGTGTCCCCACAGGAATGTACCCTCACTTCCCCGATATTGCATTCTGCGCACTCTCCTTTCGTACAAGTCATAACACCTAGTGCAATTCTCGCTACCTCAATTCATTGCACCCATAACATTGTGACAACTGTACAAACTAGGCGGCGCATTGTTGAATGATGAGCCTGGTTTCGCGCCAAAAGTGGTCTTTATTGCCAAATTGTTTTTGGCCAGTCGCCCTGATTTTCGACTCTCCAAATGAGCCTACAACATGGTGGAGAACGCCTCGCATCGGTAAGGGTCGGGCGGGGACGATTCTTAACCACTCACCAAAGCTCACCACGGATAGGCACCACGGCTCACCACGGCTGCTTCACCTCTCATGTGGACTTTTGTTGTTGTAGATAGGTTCTCAGGCATCAGCTCAGAAATTCGCCAACCCTCTCCTCTATGAGAAACTAAGAGTGAACGAGAATGGTGGACTAGAAGGAGAATGAGAGTACAAGTATGTCAAACCTAGAGTTGTGTACCCCCTAGAAGCTAACCCATAATAGCCTACACAAATATAACACATACAATGTTTGACACACCCCCATAGGCTAAGTGGGAGAAAACAAGGGGTCAAAGGACCAGTCAAAGCAAAGCAAGACAAGCTCAGGGTGGATCTCAAGGATACCACACAAATTCGGAGCACAAGCAAGTGGTCACAAGACTAGTTCACATGCAGTTTGATAATATAACAAGAGGTACAGTGATCACAACCTAGCAAGTATAAGCATGCAGGTATATATAGAGAGATCACAGTACAAGCAGACTCAAGAAGTGAGCAGGTGAGGGAGAATAGGCACAAGGCCTAGCACAGTACAGAAACGCTGATGGTCACAAGGCTGAAGCGCCTTGGTGAACACATCAGCAGTGATGGCCCGAGTGGCCACGTACGAGAGACGAAGCTGACCCCTCTGCTACAGCTCTCGCGCTAGGAAGTAGCGCAGAGCGATGTGCTTCGTTCTGTGCTCCAGTCTGTGCTCCTCACACAAGGCAATGGCTGCCTTGTTGTCGACATACAGCACTGGAGGAGAAAGAGGCCGCTCTCCGAGGTCGGTCAGCAGGTAGGTGAGCCAGCGTAGCTCCTGGGCCGCCATGGCTGTGGCGTTGATCTCAGCCTCACAACTGGAGCTGAGAACAGAAGAAGAGCGTGTAGAACGCCAGGAAACAGAGCCAGAGCCAAGGCTGAAGGTGTAACCCTGAGACGACCGCTGCGTAGCCTGGTCGTCAGCCCAAGAAACGTCTGAGTGTCCAGTGAGAACAACGCCGCGCCGTCCTCCAAGCACAAGCCCCATGCCCGACGTACTCCACAAGTAGCGCAACACCCTCTTAGCGGCATCCATGTGCTCCTTCCGGTGACGGCCAGGAGCGACATAGCGTGCTAGGATGCTAAGAGGGTATGCAAGGTCAGGTCTAGTGCAGGTCATCAGGTACATGAGGCAGCCCACAAGCTCTGGATACGGACCACTCGGCTCTACGGACTCATCCGAAGGCAGAGCTGAGAGCCAGTGACCGGTAGGCAGAGGGGTGGGCTGAGGCGAGGAGTACGTGAAGCGGAAGCGCTGAAGGACCTGCTGCACCATGTGTGGCTGAGTCAAGGTGATGGTGCGCTGTGCTCTGTCCCGGGTGATCCGCAAGCCAAGATACCTTGTCAGCTCACCCAGGTCTGTGCACGTGTGTCCCTTCTGCAGCTCCGACTTCACGTGGGCGAGTGCCTCAGTGTCAGCAGTAGCAAAGACCAAGTCGTCGACGTACACGAGAACGTAGAACGGCGGCAGAGTGGTGTCGGTGCGTAGAAACAACGACGGGTCGGCAGTAGAAGGAGCAAACCCAAGAGCTGCAAGTGTAGTCCTCAGTGTGTTGTGCCACTCACGGGGTGCCTGGCGGAGACCGTAGACTGGCCGCTGGAGGCTCCACTGGGTACCAGGAGGGAACGACCCAGTCAAGCCAGGTGGGCGGCGCAGCCAGATCTCCTCATGCAGGCTGCCCTGTAGGAACGCAGTGCTGAAGTCAAGAGAGTGGAGCTCGTAGTCACGCTGAGCGCCAACGTGCAACAGATGCCGAAGAGTGGTCATCTTCGGGGTTGGGGAGAAGGTCAGGAAGAAGTCAACTCCCTCTCGTTGACAAAGCCTCGTGCAACGTAACGAGCCTTGAAGACAGGCGGAGAACCCGGCGGCCGCTTCACCCTGAAAATCCACATGCCACTGACGATGTTCGCCCCAGGTGGGGGAACCTCGTCGACGTAGGTGCCTGTGGATTTCCAGGAAGCCATCTCTGCGTCCATGGCTGTCTGCCACTGAGAGGAGTAGAGACCCTCCATCGCCTTTGCGTAGGAGCGTGGGGTCGGGATGTCTGGTGCATCCGGATCTCCCTCAGGGGCAACTAGCATGGACACGAGATGAGGCAAAGCAGCGGCAAAGCACTCAAACTCCTCATGTCTGTCCTCAAGGACGTCCGTGCTAAGAGCACACTCACCCCCGACGGACGGAGGACAGACAGACTCAGACTCAGCAACAAGGCTAGCGGAGTAGTCTAGACGACAGGCGGCAGTAAATTCAACAAGCTCAACGACTAGAGCAGGCGCAGCAGAGGACTCGAAGGAAGGGTCAGTGACAACAGTGGCAAGGAGACGCGTGAGAGTAGGACTGGCAGCACGAAGAGAGTCAGACTCCGCGTCTGCAAGAGCAGGAAGAGAGGACGCAGGAGGGGACGGCAGAGGGACACGCTGTGGAGGAGTGGAAGGACGCAGAGTCATATAGTGAGTGCCAGGAACAGGAGGAGGTCGCTCACGCGGAGCACGACGACCAGCGCGGACAGCACGGACAGGTGACTCTGGACGCGACTCAGACGACTCTGGATGAGACTCAGGCGACGGAGGACGAGACTCATGCTCACGACGCTCCGTAAGACCCCCCGTCGGCTCAGCGTAAGGAGAAGGACTAGGCAGTAGAGAGGCTGGCTGTAACTGTGACTGCGACTGGACAGGCGGTGGACTCAGTAGGGGAGGAGAAGGACCAGTAGAGGGTAGGAGACTAAGAACCTGCTCAAGGAGCGGAACGTAGTACGGCCGTAGCCGCTCAGCACCTCCAGCGACAACCCCCTCAGCAGGCCCAGTCCCAGCAGCTCCAGTACCTCCAGTACGAGCACCCCCAGGACCAGCGGCTCTAGCAGCTCCAGTAGCACCTCCAGCAGCGCCAGCAGCACGGCCAGTAGCAGCAGCACTTCCAGCAGCTCCAGCAGCACCAGCAGCACCTCCAGTAGTAGCAGCACCTCCAGCAGCTCTAGCAGCACCAGCACCAGCAGCACCTCCAGCCGCACCAACAGCACCACCAGCACCAGCAGCACCGCTAGCAGTAGCAGCACCTCCAGCACTAGGGTCCGCCACACTAGGAGCGCCACTCCAGAGACTCCAGCGCCGAGCGTACCACTCTCGGAGCCGCTGGGGAGAGGGCAGCTCCCGCCTAGGAGGGGAAGCACTAGCACCAGCTCCAGCAGCACTCCTAGCTCCAGAGGCACCCATCCTGAGGCTGCAGTACTACAAGTACCACTCTCGTAGCTGCTGTGAGGAGAGAGCTCCTCTAGGTGAAGCACCCTCAGTCCCAGTACCCTCAGACGTAGCACTCCCAGGCTCAGCACCCCTGGACTCAGCACCCGCAGGCTCCGCACCCCCAAGCTCAGCACCCCCAGACTTCGCAACCCCAGGCTCCGCACCCCCAAGCTCCGCACCCTCAGGCTCCGCTCGCTCAGGCTCAACAACCCTAGCAGGACGAGAGTCGATAGCTACCTCGACAGGCTCAACCAGGTCTACCTGGGACACACCTGAGGGAGCGGCACCCTGAGGGGGGAGGGGGTCTACCACAGCAACACCTGGCGCGAGAAAGAGAGGCGGGGGGGGGAGTGGGGCAGTGCGGTAGGGGAAGAGGCGGTAGTAGGGCACGGACTCGTCAAAAGTGACATCCTGAGAGGGCAGGACACGGCGCGAGGTGGCGTGGTAAAACTTCCAACCAGACGCGTCCGGGACAAAGCCAAAGAAAACACAAGGAACACCGCGGGAGGAGAGCTTGTCCGCGGACGTATCGTGAACAAAAGCTCGAGAACCCCAGACCCGAAAACGCGACGCATCGCCAACCTCTCCCGTCCAATGCAGTGTCGGAGAAGTCTCCGGCAGGGAGACACGGGGCCAGAGGTTGAGCTGATGCGCAGCGTATCGGACCGCAAACGGCCACAGAAAGTGGGGGGCAGCCGCATGGATCAAGGAGGTACGAGCGACCTCCATGACCAGGCCAATGCGGCGCTCAGCAACCCCATTCTGCTGTGGGGAGGACGGAAGCGTGAACGTCTAGCGGATGCCGTGCTCCGCACAGTAGGCTGCCAAGAGGTCGGAGGAAAACTCACCACCTCTGTCAGAGTGCAGACGCAGGACAGGAAAGTCCGAGTGGAACCGCTCATTGAGCTGGAGACGAGTAGCACGGATCCAAGGGATCAAAACATCAGGGACCTCACCCTTGGTGCGAATTGGGAAGACCGTGGTGTAGCGTGAGTAGTCGTCAACAACGATCAGGAAGTACCTCTCCTGACCTTGTCCACGGACGCGGGCTGGGCCCCACACGTCCAGGTGGAGAGTCTGCAGTGGAGCCTCTGTGGGAGGGAACGAGGAGGAGTGAGGAGCAGCGCACTGCCGCCCCTCGACACAAGGAAGGCAGGGAGGAGCAGGCGACGGTGGGAGTGGATGGAGAACCCTGGGAAGACCAGAGACAAGGTACCGTTTGTGCATGGCACGATGGCGTTGCACTGACGGGTGACCAAGGCGGTGGTGCCAGAGGACAGTCTCGTATGCCAGGGAGCGACACGAGCAGGGGGCAGACAGCTGACCTGACGCAGACGCAGACGCAGCTACCTGAGGGGACTCAGTGGTCAGCGTGTACAGGTCCGACCCCGGCTGCCGAGTGAAGGTAGCCAGGTGGCGGCCCGTCCGAGCGCACGTGCAGTGTGTTACGCACTCGTAGGCAGGGGTAAATTGGTGGACACCCCCGTCCTGGAGCGCACTACCCGCCACCAAGTTCGTAGAGAACGAGGGGAGGTAGAGACCTAACAGTGTGCCCGACGGAACCGCAGGACAAGGGAGGACACTGGAGGAGGTCGCAACGACCGGACCCCCAGAGGGGTCAACGAGGGAGACTGCAACTGGCCGAGCAAGCTGCTTAAGGGCAGTGCGGTCACGAAAGAAACAGCGAGAAGCACCTGAGTCCAGAGTGAAGGTGTGCAGTGCCTTAGTAGACCCAGTACCAGGGGGCGTAGACTCACGAGCACCTAGAGCAGCAGCCTCATCAGCACCTGGGGCAGCAGACACGTAAGTACCTAGAGCGGCAGCCTCACCAGCAACTAGGGCACTAGACACTCTAGCACCTAGAGTGGCAGCTCCATTGGGTCGAATGCCCGGGTTGGGCGGAACACACAGGTACTGATCACCCTCTCCACTAGTAGAAAAGACATACATCGCAGTGAGAATAGCATCAAAGTCAAGAGCATAGATATCAATGTTCTTCCTCATCAGATCGGCCCAGCGGGGCAGCTCAGTGGCACCAGGGAACTGAGTGCGCCAGGCGTCGTCGAGGCGGGAGAAGCAGCGCTGCGTGGGGTGCGCCCTCCCACACGTCTGACCAGTGCGGTCACCTTTGCGGATGACGTACGTGTAGCTAAGTCCACCCCCCCCCCCCCCCCCCCCCCCCGTGCTGAGAGTACCGCTCACGAAGCTCCTCGGGCGACAGAGGTTGCTGCTGGCTCTAGCCACTGCCGGCGCCTCCACGACCACCACCTCCGCCGCTGCCACCCCGTCCACCACCGCCCCTGCCGCCTCCGCGTCCACCGCTGCCACCACCTCCGCCCTCGCCCCTGCCACCTCCCCCGCCGCTGCCGCCACCACCCCCACCGTTGCCACCCTCCAGCCCCGCCACCACCCCCACCGCCGCCACCGCCCCCACCACCGCCTCCCCCGCCGTCACCTCCGCCTCCCTTGCCCCATTTGCCTTTGCCACTGCGGCGCCAGCTCGGAGCCGACGCGGTCCCGACCTTCTCAGCACCAAGGAGGTCGGCAGCAGCAGCAAAGGCTACAAAGGGGAGAAGGGGGGAAGGGGAACACCCCTCAAAGAAAGGGGTGCGGGGGTCGCCACGAGAGGCACCTACAGCGACTATGCTAGCCTCAGCTGCAAGTAGTTCCTTCTCGAGGAGGGCAATGGTGAGCTCTGTGGGGCAGCGAGCTAGGAAGTGGTCCCTGACTGCACGCAGAGTGTCAGGGAGGCGGGTGACTAGATGGTAGAGAGTGAGCCGGAGCGGGGGGGGGTTCTTGGCAAGAAACTCATCGGGCATAGCGGCACGGAAGCGGGCCTCACTAGTGCGGAGGTGCGTGATGAGGTCAGCGATTGTGGAGAAAGAGGACAGGTCGGGGAACAGGTAGGGGAGTGAGAGACGGCCTAGTGCGGGAGAGGCAGGTGAGGAGTAGCGGGCAACGACAGCAGTGTACAGTGCCTGTGCAGTCTTGTGCTGGCCAAAGTGCTCGCGCTCATCTATCGGCAAGGAGTTGCGAATAGCAAAGCGAGCGTGGGCGTCACGAGTCTGCCACTGTGAGCGTGTAGTGCTGTCAGCAGTAGAAGAAGGGGCAGTAGCATGGCCTAAGGCGTGATCGTACAGTGAGATGTCTTCCTTGGCAGTGAGCTGTAGGAATAGGTGCAGGTCATCGAGCCAGGTGTCAAACTTCACTGGGCGGCCCTCAGCATCGAAAGCTAGCACAGGAAGGCTAGCCATAGTGACAGCAGGAGGAGCAGCAGTAGTAGTAGCAGAAACAGCAGTAGTGACAGTAGCAGTGACAGAATTAGGGGCGCGGCTCGGTAGGAGGCGCGGCTCGGTAGGGCAGCGCGGCTCGGTAGGGCGGCGCGGTTCGGTAGGGCGACGCGACTCGGGCCGGGTGACGCGGTTCGGTGGGGCGGCTCGGCTCAGCTAGGGAGCGGCTACTCGAGGTGGGGTAAGCAAGCTCAGGTGTGCGCGAATCGTGCACAAGTGTGCGGGAAGCGAACTCGGGTGTGCGGTAAGCAAACTCAGGTGTGCGGGGAGGGGGGGGCCGCAGGGCGTCGCATGGGTCGACGGGGACGGGCGCTCGGGTCCCCGGGGTGGCGAGCTAGCTAGGGCGGGGCCTGGTCGCACGGGGCACGCAAGGGCGGGCTGGTGGGGCGGGGCCGGGTCGCACTAGGTACGCGAGGGCGGTCTAGCTGGGCGGGGCCGGTATGCGAGGGCACGCAAGGGCGCGCGGGTGGGTGTGGGCCGGTCGCACGGGGCACGTAAGGGCGCGCGCTAAGGGGCGGGGCCGGTCTGTAAGAGGCTCGCAAGGGCGAGCGGGGCTAGGCGGGGCCGATCGCACGAGGCACGCTAGGGCGTGTGGGCTAGGCGGGGCCGATTGCGAGAGGCCCGCTAGGGCGCGCGAAAGTGAGAGAGAGGAGGGCGCTCAAGGGCGCGACTAGGCGAGGCGCGCGAGGGCGCGACTAGGCGAAAATGGTGGGCCCATCGTTCGGTCCTAGGTAACGACCTAGGCTCGTAAATTCGTAATACCATGTGAAAAACTAAGAGTGAACGAGAATGGTGGACTAGAAGGAGAATGAGAGTACAAGTATGTCAAACCTAGAGTTGTGTACCCCCTAGAAGCTAACCCACAATAGCCTACACAAATATAACACATACAATGTTTGACATCCTCTGCTTGTCGTTTTGATTCGCACATTGGTTTCGCACAAACGCGCAAATGTGTACAGTACACCCGTGCGGAATGTCGGTTCTCGAGAACAGGGTAGCACAGAAGGGTTGGGTTTCCAGCCGTCAGATTATTTTCTGACAGTATCAGTCCTTAGGCATCGACCTACCTGTATTTCTTTCTGCACTCTCTCTCAGCCTTAGTCACTGCCTTGTGCTTTGGAAACCTCGCGATTTACCCTCGCCGTCAGATGAAATGAAGACTTCCATCAAGCTCCTTGTCTTGGCAATTCTTGCCGCACTCCTTTTCTCGGCTGGTGAGTTCGCACGCTGATCGCTGCTTGTCTTGGCAATTCTTGCCGCACTCCTTTTCTCGGCTGGTGAGTTCGCGCGCTGATCGCTGGTTCCCGACTCACCCCGTCATGGTTCACCTCTTCTAGGGTTTCCCTTCACCACGGTCATTGTTGCCTTGGTTGCTGCTATCCCTGTTCTGTTACTCACAGTCGCCCTCTACTTTCCCTTTCAGCTCTCCCAAGTTTGGCTTTGGGCCGTTGCCACGGAAAATTGAGGAAGGTGCTACCAACTGACAAGTGTGCGGCCATAATCACCAAGTACTACAGAAGGCAGCCTAATCTTTTCGTGAAGTACAACGGCTACAAATGCACCGATCCCCTCAAGGCCGGCTCCACCATCTGCCTGCCTTAACAGAGCTACGTGGATAAAATAATCTCAGGAAGATGCCGCTTTAATATTCGAGGTCCATAGCTTTCCAAGTTAGGAAGGTTGTTTGGGGAACGTGACGCAACTACAATACCAGTTTCTTCGTGGCAGGAGACGCCTGTATGAATAGCTCTAGATACGATAAGTCTCCCAGTCGCTGAAAGGTGATTCGTATTTGGGACACAACACAGTTTATGTTGTTTTTGGGTATCACAAAGTGATTGAGACACAATTGTCCCCACAGGAATGTACCCTACGCTTGCAGTTCATTCATCATGAGTACCGTACATGATATACCGTACTAAGATCCTCATCCGTACTTTAATCTGGAGTGTTGAAATATATGTATTCAAAACTTGAGAACCACTCAGAACCTCCAAAGAACCTCAGGGGCTTTTATTACCTAAGGGGATTTGATACCGGTTACTTCCGCTCACTTGCGCCCAAGGTTTCCCCTAAAAATCTGCTGGGCTTCTCTCAGCCCAGCCGGTTGCATGTGATGTGGCGGCACTGTGTGAACAGCCCTTGCTTTTGCGGCACGTCTCTCCGCTCCCTGCATCCCTGACTCCGCACTCACAGCAGCCTCAGCAGTCATGGCACGCTGCTCTGAGTGTCCTTCCCCTCTGCCGTGCAACCTGCGGCTCATCATCCCGTCCACCTGGGCTTGCCACCCTTCTTCCCCTCGTTGCCACCCTTCTTCCCCTCGTTGCGCTTCCTCTTCTGACCGCTCAAGTGCTTGCTGCCCGCCCACCCTCCCTTTCCTGCCCCCTTCTCCTTCTTGCTCCCTCCGCCCTTCCCCTGTGAGCCTCCCTGCTTGCCCCCTGTCCCCATCTCCCATGCAGCCCTCGCCTCGCCACCACCCTTGTGCCACCTCCCCTTTTTCGCTCCACTCCACCCCTCTGCATTTCTCTCCCTCTCACCCCCCCAACCCTTTCCATCCTCCCCGAAATTCCCGTTGCTCGCTCTGCCCCCCCTCCTCCCCCCTCCTCCTCCCCAAAGCTCCTCCTCCTCCTCATCCTCATCCCAAGCAGACCTACCCCCCTCAAATTGCTGCCGCTTCCCTCTCTTCCCACCCCGCCCAGCACCGTCATCCCCCTCCTCCTCCCAACCCCCACGTCTCTTCCTCTCCACCTGCCCTGCCACCCTCACATTCCTCCACCCACCCTCCTCGTCCTCCTCCTCATACTCATGGCCACCGGGGTTGCCATTGCCGTGGCTACCATCATCACTGTCCCAGAACCGCTTGTGCTGCGCTCTCTGCCCCTGCTGCCCCTTCCGCCCCCACAGCCCTCTCTGCCCCTGCTGCCGTTTGCCGCCTCTCCCGGTGTCAAAGCGGGCGGCAATCATGATACTATCCTTGATACGATCCTCCCCACTATCATCACTGTCATCATACCCCACAAACCTCGTGTCATCCCCGTCACCACCACCACCACCACCACCACCATCCATCTCTTCCTCTTCATCATCACTACTCAGCTGAGCCTTAACAAAGCGCTTCTTCCCTCCCCTCCCCCAAATCCCCCCATCTCCCCCACCCCCCTCTGCGTCTCCACTTCCCTCCTCCCCCTCATCCTCCTGCGTGCCCCGCCCCCTGCGAAACGTCTTGGGGCAGTCCTTAATCAAATGCCCCGCCTCGCCACACCGGAAGCACCGCCGCCCCTCCGCCCCCCTGCCCGCACCCGCTGCCCTCAGGTGAGCAGCAGGCGAATCGGCACCTGCTGTCTTGTATCTGGTGGCGGGGCTGTGTGAAGCAAAGTTGAAGGAGTTGAAATGGCGAGCAGAGGGGCACTCCTGACAGTGGGCAGGGTAAGGGGGAGAGGAGGGGGTAGGGTGTGCGCAGAGCAGGGGGAGGGAGGTGTGAGGGAGTGGTTGCTGCTGTAAAGTGAGGGGAGAAAAGCAAAGAGGAGGATGGAGCAGACTTATGAGGTGGATTCATGTGGTGAAAGAAGGAATGGGGAAAGACAAGAGGAGATGGGAAACAAGAGAAACCGATGAGGTGAGGAAAAACGGCGCTCGGGAGAGCGAGAGAGAGAGGACTTAGCCTCTGGCCTCTTCCCTCGGCCCTCTTCCCTCTATTCCCTAGCTATATAAGGGCCCCTCAGCCCTTCCTCTTTTTCATTAGTTCGTTTGGTGGTAGGAAAAACGGTGAGGTGGAAGCGGATTGAAGGAGACGGAATGCGAGGAGCGCAGGGAGCCAGAGATGGTTGTGCAGGTGGACTCTATTGGTTGCCTGCAACCCTCTCTACCTCCCTCCACCGCCCTCTCCCTGCTACCCCCCACCTCTCACCCCCCCAAGCTACCCCCCACCTCTCACCCCCCCTTGCTCCCCCCCACCTCTCACCCCCCCTTGCTCCCCCCACCTCTCACCCAAGCTGCCCCCCACCTAACCTCTCACCTCCCCCCCCCCCCCCCCCCCCCACCTCTCCCCGCACCTTCATGCTGCCGCTCACCTCGCCGTGGTGTCCCCTGGCGCCACAGCAGCAGCACGACGGCTTGGGCGGCGGGTCTGCCAGGTCAGCGCACGCCAGGTGACCCCACTGCAGGCACACGTGGCACTGCACCCTCGCCAGGTCAGCGGGGTCATACGGCTGCCAGCACTCCCCAAACACGTGCCCCTCCCCACCACACCGCATGCACTCCGCTGCCCCCCCTTCGCTCCCTCCCCTCTGCGCGCCCTCCCCCTCCGCCTTCGCCCCCTCATCAACCTCAGCCTTTTTCTCTCCGCCCGCAGCAGCAGCAGCAGCAGCAGCAGCAGCAGTGCCACCATCGCCAGCAGCAGTGCCACCATCGCCAGTAGCAGTGCCACCATCGCCAGTAGCAGCAACCGTACCATCCCCACCCCCACCACCCCCACCACCACCGCCACCGTGAGCGCCCTTGCGCCCGCCATCACCAGCCGCCACCTGCGCCCGGGTCCACGTGCGGGAGGGGCAGTGCCTGACCACGTGGCCCGGCTGCCCACAGCGCACACACATCACCCTCTCGGGGCACCGCCGCTCCAAATGCCCCAACCCCCCACACACGCAGCACACCCTCCCCTCGCCCTCGCCCTCCCCCGCCCTTCCCCCAGTTCCCCCTTCACCCCCGTCCCCCTGCTGCACGCCCTGGCAGACGTGGGGAAGGGGCCCGGCGAGCACGAGGCCACAGAGGTAGCACTGGTGCTGCCCCTCGGCCGGTGTGAAGTAACGTGGCAGCCGCAACAGCCGCCGCATCTCCACGCTCTCCCCGCCTGCCTCCCCCCCTGCCTCGCCTGCTGCTTCCGATTTCCACTGAGGCTCTGACTGGGCCTTCCCTTGGGGTTCCGACTGGTCGCCCTGCAGTTGACTCGCTGCTGCGCCATCGCCCGTTGCTCCTTCTGCTCCCTTGCCCTTCGACTTCTTCTTCCTTTTCTTTTTCCTCTCCTGCCCGTCCTCCTGGTTTTCATTCTGCCCGCCCTCCAACGCCTCCGCCTGTCCCTCGCCTGCCACTGTCATCGTCCCCTCCTCCTCTCCTCTCCCCTCTCGGCGTCCTTTCTTTCTCCTCCCTTTGCCAATCTTCTCCGCCCCATCCGCTCCCCTCTCCCCTTCCCTCGCCCCAGCGTACTCCGCAGCCCCCATTGCCATTTCACCACCTGACGTTGTCTTGCCTGCCGTCGCCTCACCTGCTCGCTCCTCGCGCTCATCCCGTGTCTCCGCCCCTACACCACTCATAGCCTCCCCGCCCCCTCTGGTCTGCTCGTCTGTCCTTGCCTCGTCCACCTTGGCTCTCTTCGCTTCCACGTCCGCCGTTGACTGTTCCACGTCAGCCGATGTCGTTTCCACGTCAGCCGTTGACTGCTCCACGCCATCAGCCCTTGTACTTTCCATGTTCATGGGGACTCTAGACTCCTCCACGCCCGTCCTTGTATCGCTTACGTCAGCCCCAGTGTTCTCCAAGTCAGCTCTGGCGGCGCTAACGTCAGCCCGTGCATGCTCTACGTCAGACGTGTCGCTCCCCTCTAGCGTCAAGTCAATGATCGGACTCGTTAGTGGCATTCTCGCTATTGTACGGGCATCTCCGCGCGCCTCAGTGACAACGTGCGTCACGGTAGTCTCACCTTCGACAATGGCATCCCTCGTGACAGCATCTTCACGACTACTATCTGCTCCTTTCGCTGCAGCAGCATCGCGGTGCATTACTGTAGCTTCCCGCCCAGCTAAATTGTCGTCGTCGTGAGAGGCTGTAGCAGCCCGATCGGCTGTAGCGCCCAGGTCGGCTGTAGCGCGTTCATTGACCGCAGCGCGTTCACTGACTGTGGCGATCCGATCAGCATCAGCGCGTGACAAGGCGGCTTCGTTCTGCACTACAAGCTGATCGATGTCGTCGCCCGTTAAACCCCTCGCTGCCCCTTTCCGCTCGGCTAAAACCCGCGCTGTTCCGTCCGCTCTTCCTAAATCCCGAGCTGTCTCGTCAGCTCCTATTGAATCCCGCGCTGTCCCGTCCGCTCCGCCTAAAACCTGCGCTGTGCCGTCCGCTCCGCCTAAAACCCGCGCTGTCCCCTCATCCTCGCCTAAAGCCCTCGACGCAAAAAACAGTCGCTCGTACTGCGGAACGATCGATGGCGGAAGAACCGACGGAAGGGCCGACGGCGGAAGGACGGCGGAAGTCCCGGGGGAAGACCTGGCGGAAGCGCTCACTCCCTCTGCCGGGCTCGCCTTCTCTAGCATCGCCATTGTCGGCCGGCCACGGCCCGCATGCAATCGGCGCTCGCAAGATGCCTTGCCTAAGGAACTCTCCAAAAGCCAGTGCGATCGCGACGCGAGAACGCGTGAGAGCTAGCGAGTTGGATGACGAGCGGCGAGGTCGCGACACGCGTCGAGCCTGCTGGAGTGCGGAATTTGCACCGCAGAAGGTTTGCTGGAATGGCCCGAAAATACTGAAGAAAACCCTAATGCTGGTAGAGGTGAAGCAGGCTGCTAATCTTTCCGAGGCTGCACGGGGCGGCAAGGCTTGAGGATAGAGGTGAAGGGGTGAGACACGCAAGCAGGACAACAAACGAGTGCTTCAACCTTCAGCCCAGCAGACGTGAAGATGGTTGCTGTGTGTGTCGTGGTGTTGTGAAAGGGAGGTGCATTTATCGCGGTGTCAGAAAATGATCCCAACCGCATGCTGCGAAATCTGCGAACTTGTGGTGGGGGTCGGTTGCGCACATCCCAGTTCGCTATGAATCCAGCCGCGCTAGCGGCGAAAGGATGTTGTCGCCACTAGTGGGACGGACTACGCACTTTCGCTTGAGGCGAAGACGCGGATTGCCTGTTCTGCGTGGAGTACAGTGAGGTTTGGAAGGAATTACACAAAATAATCGCCCTTGGTGTCGTTCCCGGTTTCAATAAACCGGACTTACGGTGTCATTTGTTTGGACCAGTGTGCAAACCAGTCACCCAGGACACGAAGGCAGACAAGTACCAAGATCAAGGGTCGAAACGGAGTGTCGATCCGCCACCGCACTGTAACCACCTGTATCTATCTCTGTGTCGGTACTAAGGACGCGCACCTCCCTCGATCGATCGTGCAAAATCAAGGAAGATCGATCTTACACCGCACTTAAATCCCGCGTGTTGCATTCAAATTTATTTGAAAACTTTTTGAACCAAATCAAAATTCGATCCTGCGCAGGATCGATCGAGGCAGGTGACGCGTCCTAAGCGACCCCTACAGCGACCCGTTTTTTAGCGCAATTGAGCAGCGACAGTGTCGCAGAACCGCGACAGACTTGCACGACTTTCCCGTGACGGCATTTTGAACATAATCTTATCGATCCTCGGCTTTTCTCTGCGGCTCCTCCTCTGCCAAATCACTCTCGTGCTCTTCCCGCCTCTCGTCTCCCCAGGAGAGCCCCTCACGCCTATCCCGCCTCTTCTCCGCCGCTGCGCGCTTTGTTCCGCCGGAGCTCCGCGCGGAACCCCCGACGACTTCCCTCTCCTCCACTCCGCCATTCGCACTTCTGGCGGGCGGCACGGCCTCCCGCAGCGGCGCCATGCGCGGCGCCGCCGCGTTCCTGCGCGGATTCCTCGACTCCGCGCTGCCGCTGCTCGCCCTGCTCGCGCTTCTCTCCGCGCTCCTCCGCTTCCTTCCCCCCCGCCCCTACGTAAGAGTCCCTCTCTACGCATGTCCCGCGCCCTGTCGTCCGCCCGCCCTCATTCCTGCACCAACCCCTGTCCACCGCCCTGTACTCCTCTCCGCCCTGCGCGCTCTTTCCTTCACCTCCCACGCCCGCCATGGGAATTGAGGCACCGCGCCCCGCCTGCTGCACTTGACACCTGCCCTCCCTTCTTTCTTACTTCTCCTCTCTGCCATTACCCTGTCTGCTGCCCGTGCCCCACTCACCTCATTCCCCTTGCCTGCCTCTCCCATGCACCCACCCTCCCATGCACCCACCCGCCCATGCACGCACTCTCCATGCACGAACCCGCCCATGCCCCCACCCGCCACGACACGCAACGGGGCAGGAGGAGGTGGGGCGGTGGGAGGAGGCACAGGAGCAGAGCGTCGATGCCACCACCACCATGCTGCTCGCCGCGCTTCGACGACTCAAGTGTGAGCCGCCTGCCGCCCGCCCTTGTGCTGTGCCCCCTGACCTCTGCACCGTGCCCCCTGACCTCTGCACCGTGCCCCCTGACCTCTGCACCGTGCCCCCTGACCTCTGCACCGTGCCCCCTGACCTCTGCACCGTGCCCCCTGACCTCTGCACCGTGCCCCCTGACCTCTGCACCGTGCCCGCTGCTCCCCGTCCGCCGCCCATGCCGCCACCCCATGCCGCCACCCCATGCCGCCACCCCATGCCGCCACCCCATGCCGCCGCCACCCCATGCCGCCTGCCCATTGCCCCATGCCCCTTGCGTCCCCCTTCCTCCTCCCCGTGCTCATTCCCCTTCCGCCTAGCATCTCCCGCACTCACCCCATCCCTCCCCATCCTAACTCCCTTTCCCCTCCCCCTTCCTAATGTGCATCCGTCAAATTTTCCCCCTATGCACTTTGTGTTGCCCTCACCTCTCCAAACAGCGGAGCCACAGAGGCAGCGCCTGGAGAGGGGCCTGCCGGGGTGCGTCCTGTATGCCAACGACTGCCGCCTTTCTGCATCCTCTCATTCCTCGTCCACCATCCATTCTACACCTCATCCCATGCATTCTACACCTCATCCCATGCATTCTACACCTCATCCCATCCATTCTACACCTCATCCCATGCATCCTACACCTCATCCCATGCATTCTACACCTCATCCCATCCATTCTACACCTCATCCCATGCATCCTACACCTCATCCCATCCATTCTACACCTCATCCCATGCATCCTACACCTCATCCCATGCATTCTACACCTCATCCCATCCATTCTACACCTCATCCCATGCATCCTACACCTCATCCCATGCATCCTACACCTCATCCCATCCATTCTACACCTCATCCCATGCATCCTACACCTCATCCCATGCATCCTACACCTCATCCCATCCATTCTACACCTCATCCCATCCATCCTACACCTCATCCCATGCATTCTACACCTCATCCCGTCCATTCTACACCTCATCCCATGCTTTCTACACCTCATCCCATGCATTCTACACCTCATCCCATCCATTCTACACCTCATCCCATCCATTCTACACCTCATCCCATGCATTCTACACCTCATCCCTGTTAGAATCCCTCTTCTCTTGTAACCTGCATATATGCTATAGGTTAGGCTAGAGTTAAGCACCCAAACTTAGTTTAGGTGTACAAACAGGGGTAACCTAGTTTGTAGGTTGGAACCCAACCTTGGTCCAATTATTGGACCCCAAAAGGTTGGGTTGGGTAGAATTATTGGCCCCCTCCAATAATGTTGGCCCAACCCCAACTTGGCCAACATTATTGGACCCCACCAATAATCTCCCAACCCAACCTCTTGGTTGGGGTCCAATAATGGCACCTTAGGCTAGCATCCAACCCCATTACTATGTATAACCCCTTGTTTCTCTGTCACATCATCAACTTCATTTCAACCTCTCTTCCCACATGGTATAGAGCTGTCATTCCTAGGCCTACTCCTCTCTCAAAAAAAAAAAAAGCCCACCCGGCCGCCGCAACCCCCGGCCTCTTCCCTAATTTTTTTTTTCCCTCTCGGCTATCCCCCCGCCTTCCTCTCCCCCTTTAGCGCCCTTTTTCCTCCACAGCTCCACGGCCTCCCAAGCCGCTGCAGCCCGCGCCACTCTCTTCCGCGGCCTCGACGCCGCCTCCGCGCCAGCGCCGCCGCGGCCTCCCCAGCCGCTGCCGCCCGCGCTCTTCCCCTCCACGGCCTCGACGCCGCCTCCGCGCCTCCCCGCGGCCTCACCAGCCGCCGCCCGCGCCACTCCGTGGCCTCGACGCCGCCTCCGCGCCAGCGCCGCCGTGGCCTCGCCAGCCGCCGCTGCCCGCGCCCTCCCCCTCCGCGGCCTCGACGCCGCCTCCGCGCCTCGCCGCGGCCTCGCCAGCCGCCGCCCGCGCCACTCCGCGGCCTCGACGCCGCCTCCGCGCCAGCGCCGCCGCGGCCACGCCAGCCGCCGCCGCCCGCGCCCTTCCCCTCCGCGGCCTCGCCAGCCGCCGCCGCCCGCGCCCTTCCCCTCCGCGGCCTCAACGCCGCCTCCGCGCCTCGCTGCGGCCTCGCCAGCCGCCGCCCGCGCCACTCCGCGGCCTCGCCGCCGCCTCCGCGCCAGCGCCGCCGCGGCCTCGCCAGCCGCCGCCGCCCGCGCCCTTCCCCTCCGCGGCCTCGACGCCGCCTCCGTGCCTCGCCGCGGCCTCGCCAGCCGCCACCCGCGCCACTCCGCGGCCTCACCGCCGTCTCCGCGCCAGCGCCGCCGCGGCCTCGCCAGCCGCCGCCGCCCGCGCCCTTCCCCTCCGCGGCCTCGACGCCGCCTCCGCGCCTCGCCGCGGCCTCGCTAGCCGCCACCCGCGCCACTCCGCGGCCTCGCCGCCGCCTCCGCGCTAGCACCGCCGCGGCCTCGCCAGCCGCCACCGCCCGCGCCCTTCTTCTCCGCGGCCTCGACGCCGCCTCCGCGCCTCGTCGCGGCCTCGCCAGCCGCCGCCCGCGCCACTCCGCGGCCTCGCCGCCGCCTCCGCGCCAGCGCTGCCGCGGCCTCGCCAGCCGTCGCTGCCAGCGCCCTCCCCCTCCGCGGCCTCGACGCCGCCTCCGCGCCAGCGTCCCGCGGCCTTAACAGCCGCTGCCGCCCGCGCCCTTCCCCTACGCGGCCTCGTCGCCACCTCTCCTCACGCCCCTCCGGGACCACTGCGGGTCCACCCGCGGCCGTCCATCATGGCTCACGCCACACCCTCCCCCCTCCCTCCTCCTATTGATACCTCCTCTATCGATAAGCTGCAACTCGCCGCGGACAAATCCGCCGTCAACTGGCACTCCTTCATCGGCAGCATTCGTCGAGTTCTCTCCGATACATGGGTTCCCCCCTACCGCGTCCTTGACGTCATCCTCCGCCGTCCCCATGCTCTCCCCCCCACCGCTCCTGACCACCTCGGCGAGACCCCTCCTCTCCCTCCCTCTCCTGGCGATCCTCCTCGTGAACCCGACCTCCAACTCTCCGTCGACCAAGCCACCGCTGATGCAGACTTCATCTTACGACGCCGTGCATACCTTATCCGCAAAGCTGAGTACGATGCAGCAGTTGAAGCCTATGACCAGGCAGTTGCTGGCCGCAATGCTCATCTTGCCGTCGTCGCCAAATACAACGACGACTTGGCTACCTTTACCCCAAACCTCATCGCCTGGACAGCTGCTGACACCCGCGCCGCGCCTGCACCGTTCTCCTCGGTGCTCTCCCTGACTCCCTTATGCGCCGCTTCTAGGCTCGGGAATTCCGTGCCTCGATCATTTGGGCCGAACTCCATGCCATGTTCGAGCGCCGCGACATCAGCTCGGTTGACATCCTCTTTCAAGAGTACTTTTCAATCACCCTCGCTACATGTGACGGAGCGGTCGACTATGTCGGACGTATGCGAGAAGTAGCTGATCGCCTCGAAGCCCGCCAGGCTGGCCTCTCCGAACCCCTCCAAATCCATCGCCTCCTGTTTAACCTCACCCCAGACTATGAATCACGCCTTCACGCCTTTACCGAAGCCAATCCCATGGCCGATCTCGCCTCCGTTGAGCAGTGGATCATAGACACCGAAGTCAAACTTCGCACCCCCATTGTCAACCTCGCCTCCTCCCAACCCTCCTCCTCCTCCCTCAACGCTACCCAGCCCCGCAAGCAGGCTCGGAACAACGGCAAAGGGGGAGGTGGGGGCAAGGGAGGTGGCGGTCAGGGCAACGGCAGCACAAACAGCCGTGGCGGCGCCACTGGGGATGAGCATGGCACCACTAATTCGGGCGGAGCCTCTGCAGGCCGCGGAAGTCGTCCTGGCACTCTTCCGCCCTGCACCTATGTCCGTCGCTATGGTCCCCGGGCTGGAACACCCTGCGGGCAGACAAACCATCCCCCTAGCACTTGCTTCAAGGCTCTCGATGATGCCTGGTACGTGCGGGGCAATGTTGGCACTCCTCCCAAGTGGGGAACGATCTCCCCACGTCCCTCCCTTGCCGACATCCAAACCAACCCCGCTTACCTCCCTGCCCACCTCCGCCTCCTTGTTCCCCCCACACCGCTCCTCAATCTCCAACAGCAGCACCTCCTGCAGCAGCACCAGCAGCAGCAGCAACAGTAGCAGCAGCAGCAGCTGTTTCATCAGCAGCCACAGCAGCAGCAGCAGCCGCAACCCCAGCCGCACCCATGGGGAACTGGACTCCTACCCCAGTGGGGACCCAGCCCTCCTCCTTGGCAGCAGCAGCAGCTGAATTTTGGCACAGCTGCCATAGCCGCTCAAGCCTCACCGTCCCCCCTTTGGGGTGCTCCACCCCCTAGTAGCACTGCCCCTCCTCTTACCCAGGAGAGCTTTCTTGGCAACATTGCTGTCTCACCCTCACTTCCTTCCATGTACCCATCCACCGTTAATGAAACTACCTTCCAGTACTCCGTCTCTTCCTCCTCCTCACCCACTCTGGACTTTGTCCTCGATAGTGGGGCCACTGAGACCGCTCTCAAGGATGCTGGTACACTCACACCCCTCTCTCCTCCCACGCACGTTCACGGCGCTGACAGCAGCTTCACCATCCCATGCACACACCTCTCCACTCTCCCCTGCACACTCTTCCCCTCTGGTAAGGTAACTGGTCTCCACATCCCCACCCTTCGAAACAACCTCCTCTCCCACCGTGAAATCCAAACTGCAGGTATCACTGCCGTCTATCCAGGTAATGCCACCTACTGTGACCTCTACCACACCGCCACTGGTCGCTTCCTTCTACGCATTCCCCTCTGCCCCCGCACTCGCCTCTACACTCTCCGCACCCCTTGGCCATCCTTCTGCCATGTCACCACCCGTGCTGGCACTTCCACTAACCCTCCCCATCCCCCTACCTCACCTCCACGCCACCAGCAGGGGCCGCAGCAGCAGCAGCCGCCGCAGCAAGGGCCGCAGCAGCAGCAGCAGCAGTAGCAGCCGCCGCCGCAGAGGCAGCAGCAGGGGCCGCAGCAGCAGCAGCAGCAGCAGCCGCCACAGCAGGGGCAGCCACAGCAGCAGCAGCAGCCGCCGCAGAGGCAGCAGCAGGGGCTGCAGCAGCAGCAGCCACAACAGCAGCAGCAGCAGTCACCTCCCCCTCTCTCACTCACTCCAACCCCCTCCACCTCCGATCATCTCTCCCACCCCGCTGTACTGCTCCACCATCGTCTCGGCCACCCCAATTTCGCCGCCCTCCGCACTGCCATCACCTCTCGCCTCCTTCACGGCCTCCCTCCCACTCTCCCCCCCCTCCCTTCCTCTCCAGCCCCTCCATGCCCCTCGTGCATCCACGGCAAACTCAAACAGTCCCCCCACCACAGCCACCGATCCTTCACTCCCGCTCCAATTGACCTCGTCCATATGGACCTCTGGGGACCCTCCCCCACTCGTTCTCGTCAGGGCCATCGCTACATGCTGGTCCTCGTCGACCACCACAGCCGCTACTCCTCCATTTTTCTCCTCCACACGAAAGACCAGGCGCCGACCATGATCATCAACTGGGCCGAGCAATGCCGCGCCCACTTCAAGCGTCCCATCGGCCGCCTACACTCTGACGGGGGAGGCGAATTCCTCAATCGCACTCTCTCCCATTACTGCACCACCCATGGCATCCAACAGACTCACACCCTCCCCCACTCCCCGCAGCAGAATGGAGTCGCAGAAAGCCGGATTCGCGAAATCACCAAGATCGCCCGCTGTCTCCTCGCTCACGCCTCAACCCCCCCTTCCCTCTGGGGCTATGCTTTGCTCCATGCTGCCCTCCTCCTCAACCTTCACTCCCATCCCCAACATACCACCACCACCCCCACGGAGCTTTGGTCGGGCACCAAACCTGACGCCGCTGGTCTCCGTGTCTGGGGTTGCAAGGCATATGTCCTTATCCCTCCACCCGATCGCACCCACGGCAAGCTCGCTTCTCGCGCCCTCGAGTGTGTCTACCTCGGGCACAACCGCGACTCGCCTGGCTACCTCTTCCTTCACCCTCCCTCTGGACGCCTCATCCGCAGCATTGATGTCGTCTTTGACGAAACCACCCCCTATTACTCCTCTTCACCCCCAGACCCCCTCCCTCCTCCTTCACGTCCTCTCACCTGGACCGACACTGTGCTCCCTCCCCTCCTCCCTCCTGCACCCCTTCTCCCACCTCTCCCTACTCCGCTTCCGCCACCCTCATCTGCCGACATCTACGATCCCACTGCTCCCGCATCCCCTGCACACTCCGCAGCCCCCCCTCCCTCCTCTCCCCCCCCCTCTCCTTCTCCTCCGTCCCAGCAGCAGGGGCAGCAGCCGCAGCAGCAGCAGCAGCAGCATGGGCAGCAGCAGCCGCCGCCGCAGCAGCAGCAGCAGCAGCAGCAGCAGCAGCAGCAGCAGCAGCAGCAGCAGCAGCAGCAGCAGCAGGGGCAGCAGCAGCAGCAGCAGCAGGGGCAGCAGCATCGGGAGGAGCAGCAGCCGCAACAGCAGTAGGAGTTCCAGCAGCACCAGCAGCAGCAGCAGTAGAGGGCGATTGCCCGCTCCTCACCCTTCCTCCTCCCTCGCATGCACACCTGCTCCCTCGATCCCATCCTTGGCACACCGCCGCCTCCCTCCCTCAACCAGCTCGAGGATTCCCATGAGGAGTTCACCATGGTCCAGCGCCACACTCCCTCTCTCACCACGCTCTACCCTGGCCTCCTCGGCGCTCTAATCCTTAGCGCGATCTCCGCTCCCACCATCTTCGTCCCCTCCACCTTCCAGGAGGCTATCACATGCGCTGACGCTGACAAGTGGATAGCCGCCATCTTCCTGGAATGTGAGGCATTTATCCGCAACGACTCCTTCATTGACGTTCCCCTCCCCCCTGACGCCAACCTTGTCGAGGGCAAGTGGATCTTTCGAGTCAAGCAGCTGCTGGGAGAAGAACCGGTCTACAAAGCCCGCTACGTTGCCAAGGGGTTCACTCAGACCTGGGCTGAAGACTTCTGGTTCACATTTGCCCCCACTGTCAAGCAGGCCACCCTACGCACCCTCATGGATATTGGTGCGCGTGACGACATGGAGATTGACTCCATGGACGTCTCCAACGCGTTCCTGCAAGGCGAACTGCACGAGCGCATCTTCCTCCGTCGGCCTCCCGGGTTTCATGCTGCTTTTCCTGACAACACCGTCTGGCAACTTCGGCGACCTGTTTATGGCCTGAAGCAGGCACCACGAGAATGGCATGCGAAGCTGTCTGCCACTCTCCAGTCCCTTGGTTTCTCCGCCTCCCACTTTGATGCCAGCCTCTTCATCCGCTCTTCCCCCCGTCGCTTCTTCATCTCGGTCTACGTTGACGACATGATCCTGCTCGCTGACACCAAAGCCGACATGGAGCAAGTCAAGCGGTCACTTCAGGAACGTCTCAAGTGCAAGGACCTTGGTCCGCTGCAGAACTACCTCGGCATGGCTTATCAGCTGGCGTTCTACTCGCTCCTCTGCCATTGCCCTCTCCTCCTGCGAAGCTGAACTCTATGCTGGCACCATGGCCGCGCAAGAGTCCCGCTGGCTCTGCTTTCTTCTGGCAGAGCTTGGAGCACCCCAGCGCTGTCCTACGCTCTGGTGCGACAACGCTAGCACCATCTATCTCACCCAGGACCCCGTCTTCTATGGTCGCTCCAAGCACATTGAACTCCGCTATTTCTTCATCCGCGACCTTGTCCACCAGAACCTCATTGCCGTTCGCAAGATCGCTGCTGCAGCCAACTTGGCTGATATCTTTACCAAAGCCCTTCTTCGCCCTGCGCACTCTGCTCTTCTCCGCCTCATTGGCCTCGCTCCCCCAGGCACGCCTTGATTCAGGGGTTGCTTCCCTCAAGCCTTTCCGCATCTCTGCCGGTTAAGGGGTTGTGTTAGAATCCCTCTCTCTTGTAACCTGCATATATGCTATAGGTTAGGCTAGAGTTAAGCACCCAAACTTAGTTTGGGTGTACAAACAGGGGTAACCCAGTTTGTAGGTTGGAACCCAACCTTGGTCCAATTATTGGACCCCAAAAGGTTGGGTTGGGTAGAATTATTGGCCCCCTCCAATAATGTTGGCCCAACCCCAACTTGGCCAACATTATTGGACCCCACCAATAATCTCCCAACCCAACCTCTTGGTTGGGGTCCAATAATGGCACCTTAGGCTAGCATCCAACCCCATTACTATGTATACCCCCTTGTTTCTCTGTCACATCATCAACTTCATTTCAACCTCTGTTCCCACAATCCCATCCATTCTACACCTCATCCCATCCATTCTACACCTCATCCCATGCATTCACCCCATTCATCCATGCAGCGGAGCCACAGAGGCAGCGCCTGGAGAGGGGCCTGCCGGGGTGCGTCTTGTATGCGGACGACCGCCGCCTGAGTGCATCCTCGCTAAGAGCTGCTGGCAGTGACTCGTTTGAAGCGCATGGGCGCGAGTTCCCGTACTGGCTCGCCACCAAGCTCATCAACCGGTGAGCAGGGAGTGAGTCAATAGGAAGGGCGTGAGTCAGCAAGGGGGGCGGGGGATTGTTGAGCAGCGAATCGTCCAGAGCGCATGGGCGCGAGCTCCCCTTCTGCCTCGCCACCCAGCTCAGTAACTGGTGGGGCGCGAGTGAGCGGTGAGGTGGGATGAGACAGCAATCTGGGGGAATGAGTTAGCGGGGGGGAGGGGGGTAGGATTCTAAGTAAGCAGGTGGGGGACGTGAATACAAGGGAGAGTCTTGTTGCATCTTATGCTTTCTCATGTGACTCTTCGTTCAGGCAGGCTTACAGGTGCACTCGCTATGGCAGGCACTCGCCCTGGCTGGCAGGCACGATTTCTCTTGTTTCCCGCGCTCACCATCACGCTGTGCGCTCCCGCTTCACTCCTTGCTCCGCTGCTCCCCTCCATCCCCTCCCTGTTCCTGCATGGGCCACCCACAGGGCGTATGCGCAGCGCCACGGGTACCGCTTTGTGGAGATGGGCGAGGCGGACAAGGACCCAGGCAGACACCCCTCCTGGTTCAAGGTGCCGCGTCTTCCCTGCGCCGACAGTGATGTAATGATTTTTGCTTGAGTGCCAAGCGGCACCTCAAAAGCCTTGTCCTCACATGCTGGATTCCGCCACCCCCTCACCTCACCCCACGCTGCTCTCTCCAACTTTTCTGCTGCTGCCAACGGCCATTCTCCATCTCCCCCCAATGCTCTTCAAACCCCGCCCCTCACCCCTCCTTGCTTATTCCCTCATCCCCCATCCCCATACCCACTCCTCCCTAACGCCTCAGGTGCGCTTCCTACAGTGCCAGCTGTCCTCCTGCTGGAAGTGCGCTTATCCTCTCATCCTCCATCCCCGCACCCCGCCTCCCTAACTCCCCGCCCCAGGTGCGTTTCTTACAGCGCCAGCTGTCTTGCTGCTGCGAGTGGGCGTTCTTCCTGGACTCAGACGCCTACTTCCGCATGGACAACCACCGCCTGTCCATTCAAAGCTGGGTGGATCGACTGACTCTGCCTGTAAGTCCTGCCTGCGAGGCACATGTTTTTCTGCCTGCCACCTGATGTGCATCAATCGCTCCCTTGCCTTCCTCGACTCAGATGCCTACTTCCGAATGGACAGCCACCGCCTGCCAATCAAAAGCTGGGTGGATCGACTGACTCTGCCGGTGAGGCCTGCCACCCCAGGCGTGCATGAGTCGGGCGCTTCCCTTGTCCGAGTCACACGCGTCCATCCGCATGGCCAACCACCGCCTCTACCGTGCCCAGCTGGGTGCACCAACTCTCTCTGCCTCTACGACCAACCTGGGACGAACAAAATCCTACACTGCTCTCCACCTCTCCTTGCCGTGCTTTTTTTCCATCAGTCTCTTTCCTTGTTTCACTTTGGCGCTTCAAACATTCTCCGCATGGACAACCACTGCCTCTCTGTGCACTGCTGGGTCGACCACCTCACCCTTCTCGTGGTGCATGGCTGGATGGGTGCATGGCTGGATGGGTGAAGGGGAGACATGTGTGAAGGGGAGACATGTGTGAAGGGGAGACATGTGTGAAGGGGAGACATGTGTCCTTCATACGCCTCTATGTGCACTCATGAGGGGACCGCTTCATACTGCCCATGAGACCTGGGAGGGCCAACTCTTCTCATGCTCTACCAGAGCTCCTCCGTCTTCCATTCTGTCTCCCACCATTTCTTCCACCTTTCCACCCCTCTCACTCTTTCACCTCTTCTCCCCCTCCTCCACCCACCCCCCAGCACTACTTTGACTGGATCGCCCGTGACTACAACATCTCGCTGGCCAACCAGACCTGCTTCCCGCGCCCCCCCTCCTCCATCTTCTCGCACTCACCTCCCGTCTGCCCCCCGTCACCTGTGGGGGCCGGGCAGGGTGGGGGAGAAGGCGAGGCAGGAGAGGGGGGGCATTGGGGAGGTGGAGGAGGGGGGGAGGGGGAGAGCCGGGCGGCGGTGTGTGTGGTGGCCCCGCGGAACGATGATGAGGCGTCGGGGATGGCGGAGGGGCGGGCGGGGGCGCTGTTCAACGGCAGTATGGAGTATGTGAATGCGGGGGTCACACTCTGGAGGCGCTCCCCGCACTGCCTCAAGGTGAGATTTGATACGTCTCAAAATGCGGAGGATGGGGGAGGGGGAAGGGGGTTGATGGGGATGTTTAACGGCAGCATGGAGTATGTCAACGCGGGGGTCACCCTGTGGCGCCGCTCCCCCCACTGCCTCAAGATGCTGCTGCTCTCTGCTGCTCCCTGTTGCTTTCTGCTGCTGCTGCTGCCCCTGGGGCTGCACATTCCCCCTCACTGCCCCTGGGGCTGCACATTCCCCCTCACTGCCCCTGGGGCTGCACATTCCCCCTGACGCAGAGCACACAAGCCTCGAGCCTGCCACTGACTCCCAACCTCCCCTTATCCCCTCACTCAATTATCTCCCATTCCCTCCGATCCCCCAACCCATTGTCTCCCGCCCCCTTCACAGTTGCTTGCCAACTGGCACACGGAGCCGGCGAGGCAGTACCTCGTCTCACCTCTCCCTTCTCCCCTCTCCCCTGCCCCTGTCCCCGTTCATTACTCCGTCCATTCCGCAACCCCCACAGCTGCTCGCCAGCTGGCACGAGGAGCCGGCCAGGCAGTACCTGTGGAGGCGCAACTGGGAGCAGCCGAGGCTCAACGTGCTGCTCGCTATGCCGCAGCACGTTGCCGACGTGGCAGTGGTGCCCTTCCGGGAGCTGACCGGGCACTCGGGACGCGCCATCCGGCACCGCTGGCTCAACTCCATCATGACTGACGAGACGCGCAGTGACTTGGTCAAAGATGCATTGCTAGGCAGTTTCTTGACAAGTTACATGTACATGTTTTGATTATATAAAAAGTTCTACATTGTATTAGTGGTTTTGGGGCGCAATCCGGCACCGAGTCACCAACTTAATTATGACTGATGAGAAGCACACTGATCATATGAAACATGCGCAAAAAAGGGTAGTTTCCTGACCAGTTGCGGTGCATGTACATGTTTTGAAGTTCGATACTAACGGTAGTGATATGATATATCCTTCTTGTAAAGCCTCGGATAAAAGGCCCTCGCGTCTTGACAGGGTCGCACAATAAAAATGTGGGTGGGAGAGGGAGGGAGGGGTGTCAAAATATGTTGATATATTTTATATAATCGTTTGCAGTTGTAGTGTAGATATTGCATCATGTTTGGTGGTGCACCTCCTTGTGTTGCTGTTTACCTATTTGTACTTGCCAATTTAGAAAGCTTGCTTTCTTGTGTTTGCAATGGCAACGAGCTTGGCAATGGCAACGAGCTTCGTTTCAAATGGGCATTACATTATTCTCGTCCGGGATACATATGGTACCTACATTACACATGACAACATGCAATTTTTGCTAGGGTGGGTGGGTGGGAAATAAGACATTTGAAATTTCAAACGAAGACGTGGGTGGAGGCCAAATGGCCTCCACCCCCTGCTATATAGTTGGCGAAGAGCGTCTAGCACTTCGCCGTTGCCATTGGTGCATTACAAGCAGCTTCGCTTTCAAAATACACATTTTTAGAAAGTGTTACCCACTTAAAAAAAATCATATTTAGAAAGCTTGCTTTCTTGTGTTACCGTCAGCCCCCGGATAAAAGCGCCCCTGGGGTTATAAAAAGACACGTTTTTTTAGGGGGTGCGCTTATAATTGAGGATTTTTATAAGCGCCGGTGCTTATATAATAGCATATATGAAATTCGTCGTTTTTCCACCAAACTGTAGATCCCATTCTTGCGAATTGAATCGGGTTGAAACTATACAGGGTTCGATTGAGAATCTCGCGTGCAAGTTGGCAGGGATTGATTCCCTGCCAACACACACACTCAGAATGTGAAACAATACCACTGTACAAGGCTGTGATTGAGAATCTCGCGTGCAAGTTGGCAGGGATTGATTCCCTGCCAACACACACAGTCAGAATGAGTCAACGTGCACCCTTGACAGCTCATTCTGACTGGACGCGTTGCCAGTGAGCCGGGCGAGGGTGAGGGGGCATCGAAATTCAAACTGTGGGAATGAAAATATTGAGTTTCGTTACAACGATTTCAGTAAAATTATAATAAAAAAGAAGAGGGTGGCGCTTATAATCCGTAAGCCTTCAGGTGTGCGCTTATAATCGAGGACCGGATATAAGCGCCCTCATTCTTTTATAAGCGCCGGCGCTTATCCGAGGCCTGCGCTTCTATCCGGGGGCTTACGGGCAATGGCAACGAGCTTCGTTTCAAATGGGTCTTCTGAGACATGAGACGGGGAGATGCTGCGGAGACGGTAAAGGTTGTTGATGGTTTATGCGACGACATGTCGGTGGAGTTCCAATCATGCGCGAAGAAGAAGGCTGGCACCGATGTGTGGAAACAAAGAACGAGAATGGAATGACTATGAACGAAGTGAGTACAAATAGGAAACCCTAATTGGGTTGTACCCCCTATGGGATACCCCACTATAGCCTACAGAAACAAGTAAGCTATAAGTTCTGACACACCCCCATAGGCAAAGTGGGGGAGAACAAGGGGTCACAAGACCAGTCAAGCAAAGCAAAGCAAAGCTCAGGGTGGATCACAAAGTCACCACGCATTCCGAGCACAAGTTCAAAGGCCACAAGGCCAGTTCACATGCAAGATCATATATAGAGATATACAAGAACAAGAGTATATATATGCGAAAGTACAAGCAAGGTCAAGAGGAGAGCAAGTGAGGCAAGACAGGCACAAGACCCAACTGCGTGCAGCAACGCTGATGATCACAAGGCGCAAGTGCCTTGGTGAAGACATCAGCAGTGTTGGCCTCAGAGGCCACGTACGCAAGTTGCAGCTGTCCACGCTGCTGTAGCTCACGAGCAAGAAAGTAACGAAGAGCAATGTGCTTCGTTCTGTGCTCCAGTCGCTGCTCTCGACACAAGGCCAGCATGGCCTTGTTGTCTACGTACAGGACTGGAGGAGAACGAGGCTGCTCTCCAAGGTCGGTCAGCAGGTAGGTGAGCCAGCGTAACTCCTGTGCAGCCATAGCCCCAGCGTAGATCTCAGCCTCACAACTGGAGCCGAGAACAGAAGACGAGCGGGTAGCCCGCCACGAGACAGAGCCGGAACCAAGGCTGAAGGTGTAACCCTGTGACGACCGCTGCGTAGCCTGGTCGTCAGCCCAAGAAGCGTCTGCGTGCCCAGTGAGGACCACTGGACTGCGCCCTCCAAGCACTAGCCCCATGCCCGACGTACTGCACAAGTAGCGCAACACCCTCTTCGCTGCAGCCATGTGCTCTGGTCGGTGTCTCCCAGGAGCAACAAAGCGTGCGAGAATGCTAAGAGGGTATGCGAGGTCAGGTCGTGTGCAGGTCATCAGGTACATGAGGCAGCCAACAAGCTCTGCAAACGGGCCACTCGACTCTACGGACTCATCCGAAGGCAGAGCTGAGAGCGAGTGGCGAGTAGGCAGAGGAGTGGCCTGAGGCGAGGAGTACGTGAAGCCGAAGCGCTGAAGGACCTGCTGCACCATGTGTGACTGAGTCAGGGTAATGGTGCGGCGTGCTCTGTCCCGGGTGATCTGCAAGCCAAGGTAGCTGCGCAGTTCACCCAGGTCAGTGCACGTGTGTCTCTTCTGCAGCTCGGACTTCACGTAGGCGAGTCCAGCAGTGTCAGCTGTGGCAAAGACCAAGTCGTCGACGTACACGAGGATGTAGAACGGCGGCAGAGAGGTGTCGGTGCGCAGAAACAGCGACGGGTCGGCAGTGGAAGGAGCAAACCCAAGTGCCGCGAGCGTAGTCCTCAGTGTGTCGTGCCACTCACGTGGCGCCTGGCGGAGACCGTAGACTGGACGCCGGAGACTCCACTGGGTACCAGGAGGGAAAGACCCAGTGAAGCCAGGTGGGCGACGCAGCCAGATCTCCTCGTGCAGGCTGCCCTGCAAGAAAGCTGTGCTGAAGTCGAGAGAGTGCAGCTCGTAGTCACGGTGAGCAGCAACGTGTAGCAGAACCCGAAGAGTGGTCATCTTCGGGGTGGGGGAGAAGGTCTGAAAGTAGTCAACCCCCTGCCGCTGACTGAAGCCACGAGCCACGTAACGCGCCTTGAAGACAGGCGGAGAACCCGGCGGCCGCTTCACCCTGAAAATCCACATGCCACTGACGATGTTCGCCCCAGGAGGGGGAACAGCGTCAACGTAGGTGCCTGTGGACTTCCAGGAAGCCATCTCTGCATCCATAGCTGCCTGCCACTGAGAGGAGTAGGGACCCTCTATCGCCTCCGCGTAAGAGCGCGGAGTCGGGATGTCTGGTGCATCCGGGTCTCCCTCAGGGGCTAGCAGTACAGACGCGAGACGAGGTGAAGCGGCGGCCAGACACTGGAACTCCTCCTGCCTGTCCTCAAGGACGTCCGTGCCAAGGGCACACTCACCCCCGACGGACGGAGGACAGGCGGACTCAGACTCAGTGACAAGACGAGCAGCGTAGTCTAGACGACAGCGCGCAGCAAAGTCGACAAGCTCAGTGACAAGGGCAGACGCAGCAGACGACTCGAAGGAGGGGTCAGTGACAGCAGTAGCCAGGAGACGCGTGACAGTAGGACTGGCAGCACGAAGGGCGTCCGACTCCGGGTCGGCAAGAGCAGGAAGAGAGGAAGCAGGAGGAGAAGGCAAAGGGGCACGCAGAGGAGCAGTGGACGGACGCAGTGACATCCGGTGCGTGCCAGGGACAGGAGGAGGACGCTGACGCGACCCGCGACCACTAGCGCGCTCAGGACGAACAGGCGACACAGGACGAGACGCAGGCTCACGACGCTCAGTAAGACCTCCAGTCGGACCAGCGTAGGGAGAAGGAGCAGGCAAAGGGGAGGCAGGCTGTAGCTGTGGCTGTGACCGGACAGGCTGCGGACCCTCTAAGGGAGGAGGAGGAGGTGTAAGACCAAGAACCTGCTGCAGGAGCGGAACGAAGTACGGTCGGGGCCGCGCGGCGACGCTAGAAACAGCAGGAACAGCACCAGCAGCCCCGGCAGGAGCACCCACTCCAGTAGCACCTCCAGCAGCACCACCAGAAGCTCCAGAACCTCCAGCCGCAGCACCAGGAGCACTGTCAGTCGGGCCGCCAACGGCAGGCTCAGCACCAACACCCTCAGCAGGACCAGCTCCAGGAGAACTCCCAGACTCAGCAGCTCCAGCACCCACAGTACGAGCGCCGGCGGGGCGCGCAGCAGCAGTACCCTCTGCAGCCGAAGAACCACCAGCACCAGCAGCACGCCTCCAGCGCCCGGCAAACCACTCACGCAGCTCCTGTGGGGAGAGTGGCTCCCGGCGAGACGAAGCACCCCCAGGCACAGCACCTCCAGGCTCAGCACCCCTAGACACAGCACCCCCAGGCACGTCACCCCCAGGCTCAGCACCCCCAGGCTCAGCAACCCCAGGCTCAGCACCCCCAGGCTCAGCACCCCCAGGCACAGCACCCCCAGACTCGGCACCTCCAGACTCAGCACCCCCAGGCACAGCACCCCCAGGCTCAGCACCCCCAGGCTCAGCACCCCCAGACTCGGCACCTCCAGGCTCAGCACCCCCAGACTCCGCACCCCCAGGCTCAGCTCCCGCAGCAGCACCAGAGTCACCAGTGACCTCGACAGGCTCGACCGCGTCTACTTGGGACACACCTGAAGGGGCAGGACCCTGAGGGGGGAGGGGGACTACCGGGGGGGGACCTGGTACCAAGAAGAGCGGGGGTGGGGGGAGGGACGGAGTGCGGTAGGGGAAGAGGCGGTAGTAGGGTACCGACTCGTCGAACGTGACGTCCTGGGAGGACAGAACACGTCGAGAGGTGGGGTGGTAAAACTGCCACCCAGGGGCGTCGGGGGGGA